CAACCTACTTTTTCAGATATCTGAAGACCGCTGTTATATTTCATTTCCATAGTTAAAACTACAGAACTATATTTAGTTTAACTACATCTCTGTAGTTAAAACATACTCAGATATTCTAATCATCCTTAAGGAGGCTTTATTTTTGGACCCTCACTATCTTGGTGGCCTTCCTTTGAATGTACTCCAATATGTCACTGTTCTTTTTTGAACTATAGTGCCCGTAACTAGACACATTGTTCCAAATAAAGTCTGGCCAGGGAGAATAAAATGGAACAATTACCTCTTATGTTCTAGATTCTTTCAAGATCTCTTGTGATTATATCATTTGTCTCCCTGTGTATCAAAAGGAATACTTGTTAGGCAATATGAATTGTCTTGATAAAATCTCCACCATGCTCTTGTTACAGGCAGCCACATTATTGTCATAGGACTACACTGATCTATTTCACTTCCTCTCAGCAGGAATCACCTACCACCAAGATATACCTATTCTTTCTCGAGATGGCTCCTGGATTTTTTTTTTAATCCATGGCAGTTAATACTGTCTTCCATAGTGATCTAGAGCAAGGTTTATTCAACTGACTGTGGATTATCCTCTAGGAGAGCCTGATGCCAGTCTGGCAGCTCCACTGACAGCTCAGTATCCTTCTGATCTTCTTACTTCTTTGGGTCATATACTTCCAAACATTTGCTTTTGCTAAAGAGATTTTTTCCTATTGTCTAGTACAGGGCTTTTCAACCTTGTCATCCATTGTACCATTTTTAGGATATGGCAACATCCGAGTACCACCAGTCGCCTAGCAAGGTGTCAAAAACTTGATGACCAAAAAAAAAGGGGGGGGAGTGATAAAGTACAGGTAGTCCTCGACTTATAACAGTTCGCTTAGTGACTGTTCAAAGTTACATTGGCACTGAAAAAAGTGCCCCCCAAGTCACAGCCGAGCAAGACACCTGCCTGCCCACCCGGCAGCGCTCTTCCTCCTGTCCGAGGTTTTCATTGTTGTGAGCATTTCTGTTGAGGATTGGCATTGGGGGTGGGGTGGGGGTGTTTGGTTTTTATTCCCCTCGTCTGCTGGGTGGTTGCAGCAGGTTTTGGTCACTACACATGACCCTGGGACACTGTGACCGTCATAAATATGAATCAGTTGCCAAGCATCTGAATGTAAATCACAAGGCCCTGGAGATGCTGCCACATTCCAGCTGATCAGCGCTTCTTCTGGGCTCAGCAGAAGCACCAGGATCAGTGCTGCTTTCCAGCTGATTGGTGCTTCTTCTGGGCTCAGCAGAAGCATCAGGATCAGCGCTGAGCTCCAGCTGGAGCCTGGCGCTGATCCTGCCGCTTCCGCTGAGCCCTGACAGCCCTGCAGCTCCAGCCGTCTCTCGCTCAGGCTTGTGCGGTGCTGCCACCGGTTCAGCTCATTCCCCTCCCCCGCTACCACTTTTCTAGGATGGTCGCGTACCACCTGCCAGGTGCCAATGTACCACAGGTGGTACCCGTACCACTGGTTGAAAAGCCCCGATCTAGTACATCTTCATTTCTCCATTCCCCCTTTCCCCTGTCTCCAACATCAATAACAGAAAGTATCATTTTGGTCCCCTTCAGGCAAGAAGACAAACATTGCATCCTCACCATGGAGATCACAATAGTGCTTTCTTCACTTGTTTTATGCTTGCTTGGAGATTCCCTCACCTAGTGTCCTACTCAAATCCCCATACTGATAATCTGATCTTGAATTCCCAAAAGTTGCACTTCTTGATGAATTGGTTGGAGGGAGAAGGAGGAAATGAAAAAGTATCTTTTGAGTTCCTCTCTCTGAAAGTTAGATTCCTAATATGCCCCCTTGAGTTGCTTCAGCTAAATCAGGAAGGTCAAGGCTCAAATCGGACACAACAACCAAGCAATAAAACTCAGGAAATTGGCAGTAGCAGTTAACAGTCAAGTTTTCAGCAGCAAATAGTTAGCAGACATTTCCCTGCTTGGTTCTTTCTCTCTCTCTCCTGCCTCTTTTCAATTCTCTTGCCAGATTCCTGTTTGCTGTCACTTGCTGTGGCTTATTCAGTGGCTTGCCTCTGAATTTCTGCAGCATAATCTCTTTTGGCCCCAACTGTTGAATATAGCCGGTAGGGTGTTCCTCACAATGATACATGTTTTAATTAAGGAAAGGCAAAAGAAGTAAAAGGCTAATGCATTCATTGGTAATTCTGGGGTAGGAAGGGTCACCATTTCTAGAACTGAATTGCAGCATGGGGGTATGATAAGAATAGGAGAAGGATTTCAGTTTGGCCTATTGCACAATGTAGGTAGTGAAATTTTCAGTAGTGATTTTTAGGCTGTTAAAGACCATTATTCAACTTTCTATGCCACCTCCTGAATTGGCATATACATTTTGGAATAATAAAGACTCATCAAGCTTGACTCTTTGGCATCAACATGGAAAATATTTCCATTGCTGTCCTTCAGCATCCTACTCAGTCTGCAGCCCTGGGATTTATATGGTCTCCTATCCAAGGCCTAAGCATCTCTGTCGCCTCTTAATAGATTGGGATCAGCCAAAAATAAACATACCACCTAGTATAGTCTGTAAGATCAATGCTTCAAAAATGCTTCAGAAGAATAGGGATAGAATCAAGATCACGTGAAGTATTAATACCACTTTACAATGCCTTGGTAAGGCCACACTTGGAATACTGCATCCAGTTTTGGTCACCACGATGTAAAAAAGATGTTGATACTCTAGAAAGAGTACAGAGAAGAGCAACAAAGATGATTAGGGGACTGGAGGTTAAAACATATAAGGAACGGTTGCTGGAATTGGGTATGTCTAGTTTAACGAAGAGAAGGACGAGGGGGGACATGATAGCAGTGTTCCAATATCTCAGGGGCTGCCACAAAGAAGAGGGAGTCAAGCTATTCTCCAAAGCGCCTGAAGGCAGGACAAGAAGCAACGGATGGAAACTAACCAAGGAGAGAAGCAACCTAGAACTAAGGAGAAACTTCCTGACCGTTAGAACAATTAACCAGTGGAACAACCTGCCTCCAGAAGCGGTGAATGCTCCAACACTGGAAGTTTTTAAGAAGAAACTGGACAGCCATTTGTCCGAAATGGTATAGGGTTTCCGGCCTGAGCAGGAGGTTGGACTAGATGACCTCCGAGGTCCCTTCCAACTTTATCATTATTATTATTATTATTATTATTAAATGCTGCAGGCTTACAAGAGCATAACTATTCTCTGTTTGTGTGGAAGAAAGCATGTGACTCTTACAGTGATGTAACTCTTAAAAAAAGACAACTTGAAAATCAGACTAATGATTAACTGAGAAGTGCTGCACTCCCACACATGCAAGATACAAAGTACTTCTGAAGCATTTTTGTAGTTGTAATCAGTACAGTCCTAAAACATACATTTCTTTACATCTGTGTGGGATGTTATTACTTTCCTTTTTTATTATTCTCTTTCCCCCCTCCCCCCTCTCTCTCTCCTTTTTCCTTTCTTCCTCTTATTTTTTTATCATTTTGAGTTAATCCAGACTGATTTTTTGTTACATTAAATAAAAAGATTGAGCAATATTAAATAGAAGTACATTTTAAAAAACATTTAATCCATCAGCCAATATAATCAGCCGATGTGATTAAAAAATAACCATTCATTTCTTATTGAAAGTAAACAAAGCTTTAGATGAATAATGATCATGCATGTAGAACCAGGTAATTAATCCATCATAGCTATTTTACACAATTAATGCAGCAAATCCTTTTGCACTATCGTTCTCTTGCATTTTAGTATCAAATGACCGTGGGCCTCACAGTTTAAGGACTGATATTACATTATAGTTAGGCCATGCTGTGTTTTGTTTGTGTCCAACTGACAGATTAGATGCCCAATTGTGATTTTAATATAGATTTTATTTGTTATTTATTATTTTATTCTTGAATTTTAACAGGATATTCCTTGAGTGTTTTTAACTTGCTCTGGTCTTTGACTGTAATAAACATTGACTTGACTTGCATGGAAATAAATCACATAAATGGGTTTGATGATATATGGCTGTTAAATGTTTTTTGCTTCTATTGTCAGTTCTTTCCATTTGAAAAGATTACATTCATACAAATTTCCAGAGGAAGCCACTGTTATAGGCAAAAGATCCTAAGATCTTTTCTTGTGTTAGAATATTGAAAGCTATCCTTATGATGAAAGGAAGCAAGAGTCCTCTCTTAGTTCTGAATTGGAATTTAGTTTAAAGGATATTAAACGTGGAGCAACTCTCAACCCATTCAAGAGTAAAAAAGGGCTAAGAGGTTTTGCAAACTCCCAAGGAAATCAAACCATCACCCTTGCATAATGGACTTCTCTGGCCAATGATATTATTAATGACTGGTCAGAATCTGCCAGTAACTGCCAAGCAAGCTTGATTTCCCTCTAAATTGAAAGTAGTAGTTCCAACCAAGTAGTAGTTCCAACCAGAAAAAGATAATATATTTAGGGAAATGGAACAAGTACTCATTTAGAATATATTTCACTGCTGAAATATATTTATATGACGTTTTTTGTGTACAAGAGGTGATACCAACACTGAGTTTATATCATTTATGAAGTTATGCCATTGATATGATTGCAATACAATAGCCAAAATTCTTCCTAAGGTTTTATGAACAACGAAGGGATCTGTCTAGTTTACTGTAGTTGGAAAAGAGAGTGCATTCTCGAACTCGCCAGTAAACCCTTTCGTGCAATTATTCATGGAATGTTGAGCAAATTTCTCTTAATGATGCTATTATGTTACATTAGATCTTGAAAGCCATACTTAATAAAACTCGGGGAGAAGCATAAGTTGTTACATTAAACCTTATTGCTGCTTGTTATTATAAACTGATCCCAGTGTTAACAGTCTGGACTTTAAATGGATTTTATTTTATTTTTGGCACTTACTCTAGCCCTGGGATCATAAATACCCACAGTACATATCTTCAGAGGTTAACTTGAAACAGACTTTCCCATCAGTTCTTGGTCTCTTTAATCTGCATTGCATTTCAACGTGTCCTCCACCTCCCCATCATGCCAACCCTACCTGAAGATGTCATACAGCCAACTGAGAAACAGCATTCAGATTTGCCCTCTCTGGTCAAAGTAAGTTATCTTTATTCATGAATCTTTTACAAGAGGTAGTAATTCTTTTACAAGAGTATTAATTCTTTTACAAGAGGTATTAATCCTTTTACAGGGGGGTATGAATATATATGCGGATGTCATATACCTGAACCATGCTAAGATGTTTACGGCTGCTGTTTTTCTAATTCAGGTCTTTATGATATTATTCTTTATGTCCACAGCATGATTTTGCTGGGCGGGTAGATAAAATATTGGCGTAAACTTCAAATTAACATAACGTAAACTTAATAAAAGAATAATCAATTAACATAAGCTTGATGATAGGGAAAGAAGAGGCATAGAAACACCTATGCTTCACCACAATTTGTTTTGATAACTTCTTTTAATATTTGCTTCTAGTTTGTCTCTAGTTGAAGCATTTCTCACTACAGCCTGAAGTATTATTGAATGTATAACTGCATTGTTGAATGTAGTTATACTCAAATTTCATGACAGTGCACTTTATGCTAATACCATATTGTATCAAATTTTTTTGGAAAAAAATAGAACTGTAATTGATCTGGACTAAGTCCCATTATCTTTAATATGCTTAAATATTGCTAGGCATGGGGCTTAGCAATGATGTTTTCCACTGTTTACATTATATTTGAAGCTTCTGTCATTTTTCTAGCAGAACTGAATAGAATTGGAATATTTTGCAATAATTATACTTGGGGATTGGGAAACACCTACATTGAGAAATTTCTGTTGTACAGATGGATTACAAGTAGTTTTCGACTTATGACTACAGTTGTGCCTAAAATGTACATTGCTAAGCAAAATAATTGTTAAGTGTGTTTTCACAGCAGTTAAGTTAGTAATACATGTGAATTTGGCTTCTCCATTGCCTTTGCTTGTCAAAAGTTTGCAAAAGGTGATCACATAACCCTGGGACACTGCAACAGTCACAAATACATGCCAGTTGCCAAGTGTTTGAATTTTGATCACGTGATCATGGGGATACTGCAATGGTTGTAAATGTGAAAGACAGTTTTAAGTCACTTTTTCCAGTGCTGTTGTAATTTTGAATGGTCACTAAATGAATGGTTGAGGACTACCTGTAGTTTGTACTATAATTTTTCACCCTCACATTTACCTAAACTGACAGCCTGCAGGTTCAATGCATGAAAAGAATTCTCACATTCAAATACTATATAAAACTTCCTATTGCTAAGAGCAGTTTCATAGTGGAATCAGTTATCCAGAGAAATAATAGGCTCCTCTTCACTAGATGTATTAAAGGAGAAACTGGACAACCAGAAGTAATTACCTCCAAAACTGAAATACACCATACAGATTTCCTTTTTAACTATCACTGTTCCTTTCTTCCTACGAGTCTGTGATTTTTTAAAATATTAACAATATAGTACGCTGCATTGTCCTGTCAAAATCATTTGTGTGTGTGTGTGTGTGTGTGTGTGTGTGTGTGTGTTTGATAGTGTATTGATGTACATCATTGCCTTCTAATTTCCTCTGAAAAATATTTTTGGGAATATAAAGTACACAAACTAAGTGATGTATATGGAATGTTTAAAACAAAAAACTTTCATTAGCGTACAATGATGAATTCAATGACTTACAAGACTAAATATCTGTGATGTCAGGATTTACTTAGTTAACTGACCTTTTAAAAATTATTATTATGTTCTCTGAGATGTGTTGAAAACTTTTAAGACCAATGCATATCTGGCACATTCAGTTTTGCTTTTATCATTGTCTTCCAAACCTAGGACATGGTATTCTACATCTGGATGAAAACATCCGCTACTTTTCCTTTAGTTTCATAGGAAAAAGTTGAACCCTTAAGTGATTTGTCATGCTTTCTGACACAATTACACCTTTGTGCTAACAGCTAGTTTCCTGGTTGAAGATAAACAAGTCAGTTATATGGGAATTTAGTAAGCAGTCAGATGGAAAGAATACAGCATACGTCAAAAAGATATTTTCATGCCTTTTCTTCCATGTGGTTATATGCCGAAAACAATTGTGAAAAATTGTCCAACTTCTAGTCTCTAACTACTTCTGAATTGCATTTATTCTATTACAGCTAGGACTCTTCTGTTTCTCATAATGTTAGGTATATTTAAAGCGCAATAAAAAAAAACTCCAGCATGATTGCCTGGTGGTGTTATAAGTGGAAGCTCGGCTTGTCAGTCTTCTAAATTTTGGGAAGAAACCATCTCTTGAGTTCCATTAATCCCAGATAAATTGTTAAATGATATTTTGGCTACTTTGGACCCTGTAACACTAAAGTACACGTGGTGAAATTGTTGCACATACTTTGAAAATGAGAAAGATCTCTAGTAACCCTTACATTAAAAACTACTGGAAAATTCTCCCATGATGTATTCATTCTGAGTACCATGTCTCTTCCGATATACAAATATGTACAGTAACCCCACCTTGTGGGGAAGGGTTCACAGTCAAGGTATCCTTTCAACCCGTAACTTATACAGTTTAGAAGAAAAGAATAGCACAAAATAATAAGTTAAGTCATAATTACATAAATGTAGTCTTCTATTTTGAGATATTACATTCAAAGGAAGACACATGACACATGACAGATACATGAAATGGAGCAACTTTGAGAAACGTAGAAGTATAGTCATTTCTACATTCTAAGCTTTTAAATAAAGTGCATCGTCTATCAAAATATCACCCACTATTTTCTCTTAACTTCTAGATAGGTAAGGTAAGGCAAGGTAAGGTAAGGTAAGATAAGATAAGATAATCTTTATTGTCATTTTTTACTGTGGGCACAATGACATACATCAAAAATGAAATTTAGTTGCCCGCTCTCAAAGTGAACACATATATGAGCCACACACCTAAACATACTATATACAACATATACATACTATATACAACATATGTATAGACCTACACCCCTACATATACATAACATATGAATATTAAACACTGTCCATCTTGAATATACTGTATAACGGAAGGAGGAAGCTTGAGAGTTCACAAGATTTATACTGTATGGAACGAAACTGTGGCTGAATCTAGATGTTCTGCTTCGGATATGTGATTAATACACCTACAGAATAAGTTGTCTTACAAATCTAATGAGGTAGACTCTGGCCTACAAAATAATACTTTACAATAAGTGTATAAATGTATTTCTAGGTATCATAAAATCTGTCTTCTGTTTGCTCAGTAAACATCCGTCAGGGAGAATGTTTTAAAAATAGGTTGCTTTTCCAAGGCTGTATAAATATTTAGAATTTATTTATAACTAACATGTTTCAGTAAAGACAGTAATCGTGATCAAGTTCTTGTTCCCCGAAGGTTTTTGTTAATAAAAGTAATCACATAAAAATTCAGAGAGGATAGTCGGCATTCTCCTTAAAATATACAATTGACAAGCCTAAGACAGAGCAAAAACAAATATGCAAGTTTATTTACGTATGTACAATTTTTTACTGTCCTGTATTTACATATGCCCATCACATCTTATTCTATTCTGTTTTTACTGTTATACAGGCTAAGTGCTTGATATACTAACACTGAACATAACATTTCTTTGTTCAAGCCCTTACCATTAGGATGGTAATTGTAGGCTGAAATTTGAAGATTCCACCAATTTTTTTTTATTTGGTCTTGTTACAGCTTTAATTTGCCTTGTTATTAATGGAAGTAATTGTATGATTCATCTTACTTGTCCAATGTGTCAACAAGTCTTCAGTTAGTTTCAGAACAGGGTTGAAAGAACTTGTAAAACTGTACACACTTACAAATCAAGAATTAGATAATTCCCCTGTGATATGTAGTGCTTTACAAATGTTAATGAAAGGGAAAGCATTTTTTCCTCAAAAAATGTAATTTTAAGGTAGAAGAGTCATTTCATATTTTTGCTGGAATATGCTAATGAAGGCAGATGAATTTTACCTCATCTTTTCTTTTGGAGGGAATTATCTTAGCTTCAGGGCAATTTACCTGTTGCTAAATAGAGTACTTGTGCAGAACTTGAGGGAAGTTTTCATGTAAGAATAATGGGATATTTTATTCTGTTTGAATGAGATATACTTCTCTTGTTCAGGAGTTCTCTGCTGAAACAGCTACATGCAACATACCTTCAATAATTCTTCCAGAGTATGCCGTTAGCCCTATTACAGAAAGAGACACAAATGTAGCTCTCAGGTAATTAATGCATGCATGCCCATTTTATTTCCATGATGATTAATTGTCACTTTTGGTGATATTGGCAGGTATATAAATCTGAATAAATAAATGTACATAAAAAAGACAGTTTTGTTTGACAAAAATGTTTTAATCTATACTTATGTGGAAAGAAAAAAAATGGGTAGCTAAGTAGTCCTTAGTTAATGATGGTAATTGGGACCAGGAACTCTGTTGCTAAGCTATACAGGTGTAAAGCACAAAATCACATGATCACACACCAATTTATAATGACAGTTGCAGCAGTCTGAGCTGTAGTTGTTACACAAATCCCACACAGGTGTTAGGCATAACATTATGTGATCATCATTTGCCACCTCCTGCCAGCTTTCCCATTGACTTTGCTTGCAGAAAGCCAGCAAGGAAGGACACAAATGGCAATCATGACTGAAGGATGTATAATTGCGAGTTGATTGCCAAGCATCCACACTACAATCACATGACTGCGGGAATGCTGCAATGGCTGCAATTAATGAGGTAGACTCCATATTTTGCAGTAAATTCTTAAATGTATTTCAAGGGGTCGCTTCTGTTTGCTTAGAAGACTACAAGTCTCGTTCAGCACCATCATAACTTTGAATGGTCACTGAATGAATGGTCATTAATTAAGGGCTACTTGTATTCCAAAAGCTTGGAAGTTAATTGTTAAAAGGGAGTGCTAGTTCTTGACTATCTCTGGAGAGATAGCTTCCGTGGTCAAGGGACTTGTGCTGGGGGACCAAGAGTATTCTTAAAAGATGATAAAGTTTAAGAGAGCCATAATTTAATCAATTAGCTGTTTTCATATCTATGGAGACATCCATATTTTTCTGACCAGGAGGACACCTATACTTACATTGCCCACTTGTTTTCTTGCCTGTGAAGGCTGTGGAGTAAATTTAAGTATTCCCACAAATACACATAAACGCATCCCTATTACATTTAAGCTTTCCATTTAAGAAAATTAAAGGTGAGATGGGTTCACCTATCCTCTGTAATGTCTAATTGGAACCAAAAGATAGCTTGATTGATTGATTTAATTCAGTTTTCAGGCTGTCTGAGTTCTTAATGACTCTGGGTGGCTTACAATTAAAAAAGTAAAACTCCATTTAGAATAAAATCACAATTGACAAAAGACCAATAAAACCCAATTGCCATGGGATTTTGCAACCACCCTATCTCAAGTCCTGGAAGAACAATTTGGTTTTGAATGATTTTCTGAATGCCATTAAGGTGGGAGCTATACAAATCTATGGGATGTTATCATTCCAAAAGGCGGGCACTACAACAGAGAAGGCATGTTTTCTGGGTCCTACAAAGTTACACTTTTATTTGACAGCACCGGCCCCTCACTGTATAGTCCCTCAGAGGTCCCTCAGCTACAAAATTACAAAGTTGGAGGAATGAATGTCATTGCTGGCGGCATATAAGTAGTCCTTATTTCCTGAGTGAATTGGGACTAGTAACTCTACCACTAAGCAGTACAGACATTAAATGAAACATGATTTCATTGACTTATGACATCAGTTCTGGTTGTGGTCATTAAGTAAATCACCTATAGTCATTAAGCATGACATCACGTGATCGCGACTTGCAACTTTCTGCTGACTTCACCTTTCACTTTGCTTCTTGGAAGCTTTATGTAAAGGTTGCAAAAGGCAAATTGTGACTGTGGGGATGCTGAAAGGGCCCCAATTTCAAGGACCCTTCATAAATTTTATTTTAAAGCACTGTTGTAACTTTGAATAATTGCTGAATGAGCAATTAGTTGGTAATAAGAACTAACTGTATTGAGATTTTAATACTACATAGTTTGTTTTCATTTATTGTACGATGCTTTATGTTTTAAAGACACTGGATGAAAATTTGTGTGTCTGATGTCATCTCTTACATTTTACAGTAGTTTGAAAACACACACACACACAAACATATAGATGTAGAGAGAGACTAACTTCTATACCATTTTCTAAGTTCCTTAATTCTAGAAAATGTTTATTTTATTTATTTATTAAAGTTTTATGTCACCCATCTCCCCTATAAGGTGACTATGTTATTGCATTTTATTTTTTTCAAGAATAACATAATTTCAGAACTCATCGATTTAAACTGAGGATAAATGGATTCTCTCCAAAAGTCGGTTAAATTCTTTAATGTTTGTTCAAAGGAAGTACAGCCTCATCTTTTGAATAAACATCAGCACCTTTGGAGAATTGTACTTTCCGCAGTGGAACAGTTATCTTCCTTCTCTTCTAATCTGCTCATTATCGGGTTCCTTGCCCATCATCCCATCCCCTATCTTCCTCTCTACTTCTTCCCCTTCCCTACTGCTTTTCCATGTTCCATTTTTTTTCATCTTTTTACTGCTTGCTTTATCTATTTTTGCCTCCATGGGTAGAGGAAACAGAAAATAGGACTGTCAGCCGGTTTTCAAACTAATAGTAGCTGATACCCAATATGCTACAATTTTCAATTTTTGTTCCACTTATTGTTCACTTTGTTGTTGTTGTTTTTAAAAAGTACATTATTAATCTTACTTTTAATGGAAACAGGACATTTTAATTGAATCACTTATTTTTCTAGACTCCTCTGTTATAACCCCAAACCTTTTCCTACATACACTGAACATGGAACATATTCCTTATTATTGTTTGGATCATTTCAGTTTGCTTCCCTAAGAACCATTATGATATTTTGTAATAATTCAGAATCCTGTTGAATTCAGATAGGTTTAACAACTTGAAAATATACTTCAAAAACCATTTTCCTGGGTTGCACATGTGGCAAAGTTCAACTCAAAGTTCAATAGGAAGAGGAAGGAGTATTATGTATATTCACTGTCTTAAGTTACTTATGAAAGTAATAAAAGCGGGATTTAAAAATGTGATATGTGATTGGTCTCATTCGAGACAATGACGAATCCGCATACAGATGGGAAGTTGAACAACTAGCCTTGTGGTGCAGCCGGAACAATCTTGAACTGAACACACTCAAAACTGCAGAAATGATAGTAGATTTTAGGAGAAGCCTTCCTATTCTACCACCTCTTACAATACTAGACAACATAGTATCAACAGTAGACAACATAGTATCAACAGTAGAGACCTTCAAGTTTCTAGGTTCAGTAATATCTCAAGACTTAAAATGGATATCTAACATCCAAAATGTCATCAGCAAAGCACAACAAAGAATGTTCTTCCTGCACGAACTCAAAAAATTCAGACTGTCCAAAGAAGTGCCAAAACAGTTCTACAAAAGAATTATTGAGTCTGTCATTTGCACTTCTATAACTGTCTGGTTTGGTACTGCAACCAAACAAGACAGACACAGACTTCAATGGATAATTAGAACTGCAAAAAAAAAAAAAAATGCTACCAGCCTGCCTTCTGCTGAGGGCCTGTATACTGCACGAGCCAGAAAGAGGGCTGCAATGCCTCACATCCTGGACACAAACTTTTTCAACTTCTTTCTTCAAGATGATACTATAGAGCAGGGGTAGTCAACCTTGGCTATTTTATGACTCGTGGACTTCAACTCCCAGAATTCCTGAGCCAGAATTGAAGTCCACAAGTCATAAAAGAGCCAAGGTTGACTACCCCTGCTATAGAGCATTGCATGCCAAAACAACTAGACACAAGGGCAGGCTTTTCCCCCATGCCATCACTATGCTAAACAACTAATTCCCACAACACTGTCAAACTACCTAGTAGGGCTGTATTACTATTATCCTTCTCATCTTTTCCATTACCTATTTTCTTATCTTAATAATAATAATAATAATAAAGTTGGAAGGGACCTTGGAAGTCATCTAGTCCAACCCCCTGCTCAGGCAGGAAACCCTATACCATTTCAGACAAATGGCTGTCCAGTCTCTTCTTTAAAGCCTGCAGTGTTGGAGCGTTCAACACTTTAAAGCCTGCAGCATTTAATAATAATAATAATGATAAAGTTGGAAGGGACCTCGGAGGTCATCTAGTCCAACCCCCTGCTCAGGCAGGAAACCCTATACCATTTCAGACAAATGGCTGTCCAGTCTCTTCTTTAAAGCCTGCAGTGTTGGAGCGTTCAACACTTTAAAGCCTGCAGCATTTAATAATAATAATAATGATAAAGTTGGAAGGGACCTCGGAGGTCATCTAGTCCAACCTCCTGCTCAGGCAGGAAACCCTATACCATTTCGGACAAATGGCTGTCCAGTTTCTTCTTTAAAACTTCCAGTGTTGGAGCGTTCATCGCTTCTGGAGACAGGTTGTTCCACTGGTTAATTGTTCTAACTGTCAGGAAGTTTCTCCTTAGTTCTAGGTTGCTTCTCTCCTTGATTAGTTTCCATCCGTTGCTTCTTGTCCTGCCTTCAGGCGCCTTGGAAAATAGCTTCACTCCCTCTTCTTATGACTGTAACTTTGCTGCTTGTATCTTACAATTTATATTGTTTTACTTAATATCCTAGTATGATTTATGTTGATTGCTTATTTAGTATCCTATGACTATCACTGAGCATTGTATCTTAGGGTTTATGATGAATGTATTTTATGATTATGAATATGATTTATAATTTGTTACTTGTATGTACACTTATGCACTGGACACAAATTCTTTGCATATCCAATCACACTTGGCCAATAAATATTCTATTCTATTCTATTCTATTCTATTCTATTCTAGATATAAAGGCCTAGTTCCCAGTAGCTCAGTGATATAAAGGAATGAGTGAATTCATAGCAGCAGCATTTGAGTGGCATCTCAATTTTAGCCTGCATTTATACATCACAATTTACTAATTTAACTATAAATACAGAAAAAAATCAGTATTTTTTTCACAGTACAAAATAAAGATGAATAGATTCATAGAAACATTCTCATGCCCATAGATGCTTATACACATAGATGTACATACCTGCACACACATATTAATTTTAACAGTTTTCAATATTGCTCGGTCTTTTCCCCTAGGCCTGTTAGCCCTCATCTGCGACATTCTAACAGAAATGCTAGAAAATCAGCAAACTCTTTGACGTCTGTAGGTAAGAATCATATACTGTTACCTTATTTTTTCTTTCAAATTACTTATACACACAAATTGGCAGAATTCCAAGTACTGGTATTAGTTCATTTGCTTCTATAAGATTGAATCTGTTGTAAAAAATATTTTATGGCTCCTTATATTGTATGCAGTATAAAAGATTTTTTTATCTTATTTTGTATATGGTATAGTCAGAGACAGTAGAGAAAATAGAAGGAAATATATCAGGGCTTCATAAGACATCCTTACAAACACAGAATGCATTGATGTAATCCTGAATGTTGTCTATAAGAGAAGATTCAAGGCCTATAAATATCAAAGAACAAAGAAATATATCACTGCCTAACATTGTAGATGCCAAACACTACCTTAACTTCTGATAGTTTTATGTGCTATTATAACCAATGTTGCCTCACACAAAACCAATTCTAATATGAGGATATCTACAGACTCAATTATAATAGATATATTTACAGATAGTAAAAATATCTTACAGAATAGAGAGCAAATTGCCCTCATTTAGCTGGTCAGTTGTAGTAGACATTTACCAATATTTTGTGTATAATACACTCATTACAGCAGTCAAGAAGAAACACTTCAAATGTGCAGTTGTGTTATGCATGCATTAAGTTAATTCAGTATTTTCCTACTTAGACAATGAAGGTCATGTAATTGATCTCCTTCATGACCAACTGCCAGATATACAAATATCTGATGAAGATAAAAAGAAGAACTTTGAACTATTAGAAGAAGCAAAGAAGGTGAGTGAGAGGTTCCTCACACGTAGAGGAAGAAAATCAAGAAGCAGCCTTTCAGAATCACCCACAGGTATGTATTCCAAAATACCATCTTTGAGACTCTGTGCAAATGGAACTCATGGTTAGCTGACATACAACAACTATGATCTTTTATTCCAAGAATCGCGTGTAGAGGAGTCCATTAAACTGAGAATGTGTTTTACTTCAACACTGATACAAATGCTCTGCATTCCAGCAGTTTATTTATTTACTTGAATTGTCCAGCTTCCCCAATTCCAGGTAGTTTACCATAGAGGTTCTACCCAATCATCCCAGACTGGCCACAGTTTGACAGAAATAAAACTTAAAACTGTTTTGTTCTGGGATTGCTGTGTTCAGATCTACTACACAACCCTATTGTGAGGTAGATTGAGCTAGGATATAGTAATTAGGTCAAAATCACTCAATGACTTCCCATAGCTGGAGATAGATTAGAACCTGGATCTCCCTATATTCTAAACTCTATATCATAATGGCTCTGAGAAAAGTTCACTGATTTTATAAAATGCCATTTTGGGGTGATCCTTACTGACTGTTCTGTCCCATACAGAAGGATGTTTAGGAAGTACAGTGGTACCTTGGTACTCAACTGCTTTGAAACTCATCAAATTTGATACTCAACACATTTTGACACAAAAGGTTGTCCTAGTACTCATTGTTTGCTTAGTACTCAACACACAAGCTAGAACTTGTCAGTGTCAGCTGCCTTGTGACTCAGTACATTATACCGTATGGGAAAAATTTGTTTGGTACTCATCATTTTTGGTACTCATCGCACGTCCCAGAACCAATTAATGATGAGTACCGAGGTACCACTGTACTATGTTGAACTAAGCTCTTTTACCCCTTCTCTGTTTTGTTGTCTATAACACTGATATTATAGTATTATTTTAATACATGCTTTGAGTTTAACTTTACCTTTATAGAAAATTTACCAAATGCCTCACAAGTGACATCTTTATTTAATGCAGCTTTATCCCCATCACTAAGCCCAAGTGTTTCACCTGCTTCATCTCGGAGCAACTCGTTGACACTTCCAGATCCAACAGGTAAAATCAGTGGTGCAACACTCTAATATAGAATAATGCTTTTATGTTAGTTAGTCTTGTGTTCTAGAAAGTTGACTGTTAAGAGATGTTGTAAATATATTTACTGTACATAGAGGTCTCCCTCAGAAATTTAATAGGAACTATTTTGCAACAGTGGGTTAAAATAAGAATCATTCTGTTTCCCATCATGGCCAATCAGATCACCAACTGAAGAAGCACAACTGAATAGATGGCTTAATGCTATTCTCGTCAAGCTAGTACTTACTGGCATGTTGGTTTTGATCCTGAAGGTTCAATTGGATCTATCATCTGTTCATAATTAGGTGATATATACAAATTTGTCTATTTTAATCACTTTTAAAACTCTTTTTTTTTTTTTACCAAACTGGTGCCTTCCAGATGTCAAATGTTCTTAGAACCGCCAACTATCCTGGCACTAGATTGGGGAAGGCATGTGATACCAAGTTAATGTCAGTAGTTGTTTCGGTCTGGTGGTAGTGAATCCATTCTTGCGGTAGTGAAAGTGATGATTCTTTCAAAATATTTTATAATTAGCTGTTCTTAGCATGTACTGAATATATTTGCAATTTTATAATAAAATAAGCATCCATCCTCTCAACAAACAAAATAACAAGTAATGCAGGCACGTCTGAAACAAGTCATATAGCAGCTGATTTTAATTTTCAGAGACAATATGAATTAGGTAAAAATAACAGGGAAATTAATAACTCTCCTTTGGGAGGATAGTTTATGACTTCAGAGAAAGGCTTCTTATACAACGAGATCCAGAGTAGCACATTCTCAGCAGGTTATATGTGCTGAAATGGATTGGCTCATAACAGAAGTCCTAAGGTATGCAGTGATTTTCTTCAAATTGCCATGCCTCTCTTTGATGTATGATATGTTGGAAACAAACTGAATAATTTTATTGCATATTTTTCATATTGTAGATTCTGATATATGCACATCAGTTGTTGAGTCAGTATCTCCATTGCAGGTAAATATGCTTTAATAGTCATTATTCATTTAACATAATCAGTCAAGATAAACTAAATGTTATTTTGAGAAATGGAAATTATATGGGCAAGTAACTAGCTTAGCTATGCTGCACTGAGAGATTGCTTCACCAAATCTGGGCATGTTGTCAGAGTCCAATGTGAGAGAACAGAGTCAAAAACACTATGAAAGGTCACTTGGAAAGGAACCCTTGGTGGATGAGTGAAAAGTTAAACTTTTTTTTCTATTGAAAGGAGCTGGTGTTTTTAACTGTCTCTTTATCCAGTTTGTATTGTTAATACAAGTGAAATGTCTGGTTTGCAGTATGTAAATTTATCCTCCTGGAGCAGGGGGGGGGCTGACAATGGTAATTGATGCTTCAGTCAGTAACCCAGCCATTACTTGAAGTTGCATATGAGCAACTTAGTTCATATTGCAGCAGCCCACAAATTGGTGAAGGAAGGCCCTATCTTACAAAATGAAATCCCATGATGAGAAAAGTAAGCTTCTACCCTTAGGCAAGAAAAATCAAATGCACAGGTATAGAATAAGTAGTACCTGGCTCAATAGTAGTAACTGCGAGAGGAATCTTGGAGTCCTAGTGGACAATTACTTAAATATGAGTCAGCAGGGTGCAGCAGCTGTCAAAAAAGTCAATGCAGTCCTAGGCTGCGTTAATAGAGGGATAGACTCAAGAACAGGTGAAATGTTAATATCACTTTATGATGCCTTGGCAAATCCACACTTGGAATATTGCATCCAGTTTTGGTCGCCATGATATAAAAAATATGTTGAGACTCTAGAAAGAGTGCAGAGAAGAGCAACAAAAATGATTAGGCAACTGGAGGCTAAAACATATGAAGAATAGTTGCAGAAATTGGGTATGTCTAGTTTAATGTAAAGAAGGACTAAGAGTGACATGATAGCAGTGTTCCAATATTTGAGGTCAATTTATTCTCCAAAGCATCTGGAAGGCAGGACAAGAAGCAATGGATGGAAACTTAATCAAGGACAGAACCAGCCTAGAACTAAGGAGAATTTTCCTGATAGAGCAATTAATCAGTGGAACTGCTTGATTCCAGAAGTTGTGGATGCTCCAACACTGAGGAGGTTTAAAAAGAGATTGGGCAACCATTTGTCTGAAATGGTATTGGGATTCCTGCATGAGCAGGGGTTGGACTAGAAGATCTTCAAGGTTCCTTCCAACTCTATTATTCTATTAAGATCTCTAATCGTAGAACATTTAAATTGAAGGTACTGTACTGTACTGGTTGCCCGGGTGTTTCTGGATGCAATTCAAAGTGGTAGTTTCAACCTATAAAGCCTTACATGGGGTGGATCAAGGTTCTCTGCGTAGAAACAGTCCATTCATATTTATTTATTTATGAAATTTTGTATTTCAAAAATAATCATAGTAAGTCGTTTTTCCCTCCTGCAATTTGTAACATTTTCTTAAATTATAAAATAAAATACAAAAATACAAAAGTAAATAGTAAGACACAGTAGGGAGGGAAAAGGAGAAGATAAGTGAGGGGGAGAAGGGGAAAAAAAAGAAAAGCCATTGACTTCCAACTTCCTCTGTTGCAATAGAATAAAGCATTAACATTGAACCTCGACTTTTTACTTTTCCATAATGGTGTAAATTAGCCATTTCTATAACAACAAATCAATCTAATCAGTAACATTCCAAATCAAAGCTTCAAGGACCAAATCCAAGTAGAAACAAAAGTACTTATATTATTTTCTTTAATCAAAACGGTCAGTTTAGCCCTCTCTGCCAACTCCATCATCTTCTGTAGCCATTCATCCATCATCTTCTGTAGCCATAATCAAAACGGTCAGTTTAGCCCTCTCTGCCAACTCCATTCATCTTCTGTAGCCATTCATCCATAGTGGGAATCGAAATGTCCTTCCATTTTTGGGCCTACAATAGTCTTGCTGTCGTCAACATACATATAAGATCAAAAAATCTTGGTAAATCTCTATGGAGATTCAGTATAGTGCCTGTATACCATATCTAGAAAGAAACTGGATAGATAGCAGTGCTGTGTTCTGGTTCAATATAAATGCTTCTTGAGGGAAACATTTGTTTTCTAGATTTCTGATATCAAAAACAATAGTTTTTTTCTGAAGTAAAAAATATAGCAGAGATTGCTTCTACCACTGAAATATTGTCGGTGCCTTCAAAAAAAAGCAAGAGTTTACAAAATAAGACTTCTAAATTGATTATTGAATGATTTTAAGTGTGCTTGTTTAATTTCAGAATCCCACAAAAAGAGTACCTAATCCAGAGGAGGATGATCAGAGAAAATCTTCTCAGGGAAGATTGGTTCCTCACGCAACTGGTTTGGAAAGTCCAAAGGAGGTGTCTGAACAAAAGGAGAACTTTGATCCATATAAACCTGTGGATAATCTGCCTCAATTCTGCACTTCAGATTCCAACACTGGCAAAAGATCTCTAAGTAGCAGCAAGAACTTCTGTGAAACTGAATTAGGGAAAGAATTCCCTAAAAAAATGAAAGGAAATGACTTTCCTTTGAAAGGTCATTTACCTGGACCAGGAATGATTGCGCTGGGCACGAAGTTAAAGGGCTCAGCGCCACTACTGAAGGATTCCAAAGTTTCTAGTAAAACTGAATTTAATGCATCTAGTAATCGCTCTCCTTTACTACGAGCTATGTCATGGGATCAGCCTGAACCATGTAATGTAGAAAAAGTACCTTTCAGACCATCTGAAGATATTAATAACTGCGCTGGTAATATAGCAGCTGATAATATAGCAACTAAGGTTCCACCATTCAAAGACCTTCAGATACAAGTTCAGCCAATTCGAATGCAGAAACTGACGAAGCTCAGAGAAGTGAGTTTTGATAAGTTGATAGGAGGAAGTTCTGTGTAAACTATTCAGTATTTGTTTCAGTCTTATGTAATAGAATGGGATCATAATGTAGTAAATTATATTTTAAACCTGGAAAAATATATTTTTCTTCCATAGTTTATTATACCAGAAATGTACAGTTTATTATTTGAAATGTACAGCGGAAGGTGGATAAAATTAGTTGTCTGTAGGGAGGGGACAAACAAACCCAGCCAGACCTCTGGGAATTCATTCAAATGAGTTGCACAAAATAAACGCCTCTACCTTGATGTAATAGACACCCCTTCTACCTATTATGTTTAGTTATAACATAGAATGTAATCAATGCCTGCTGGATCACACCCTTGAATCATATGATCCAGCAATCTGTTCTCACAGTTGTCAGCTAACTGCACATATTTTCCCCACATATTACTTTCATAGGTAGCCATACTGCCATCACCTCTAATAGCCATTTATCCCTATGACTTCCATGAATTGATCCAGCGTTTTTTGAAGCCAGCCATGCTGGTAGCCAGAATGACATCCCTTGATTTCATTTGTGTAGGGCTTAGACTCTGGAGATTGTGGCTATAAGTCCACATCATTTTTGTAGCCTCTCCCAAAGTCTGTTCAATGGTATTTGTGCAATTTTGGATTGTGATTACCACCTTGTCCTTTCATGCAGTTACTTTTTTACTTTTCAAAAAATGATTTTAATATTTGCGTTCCCAAAATTATAGCAAACTGTCAACTGAAATGAAATATCTTAAGACGTTATGTTTCCTGTGGGAGCAGCTTATTTTCCTGTGTGCCTTAACAGCTGTTAATCACAATGGTTAAATTTATTACCTCCAGTATCACTGGCAGTATGACTCTTATTTCTGGGGAACCTAAGTGGAAGGATGCTCCAAGCCTTATCCTGACGGTGGCTTCCTGCAGGCTTTTTGATTGGTTGCTGCAAGAACAGAAAGCTGGACTAGATAAGGATTTGGTCTGATCTGGGAGGCTGTTTTTATAGTCTTAATATCTGCAACATGTTTAGACGTTCATAATTATTCTGTTTCTCAGAAATAAAGATGGGCTAGAAGCAGTATAGCAGATGTTAACGCTTTCTTTAGTGCAGATAAAGACAGGAAGCAATTTCTGTTTGCTATTTTCTGCCTGAGCAAAAGGCAGGGTCTTTTCCTTCATATTAGCTTGCTCCTTGGTGAAGGCTGGCAGCAGTCATTTCCTTTTTACTTCTGCCTGGAAGAAGGGGCTGTCTTCCTTCCTCACAAAAACACTGGGATCAAGGAAGGATAGTTGGAGGTGGCTAGAGAACAGGGGCCAACCTTCTAACTTCGGGCTCATAAGGTGGAGACTCAGTTTCATTTCTCATATGAAGAATCAATTCCTTTTAAAAAATTATTATTAAATTCAGAAAACGTCCCTAGCTTCCATTAGGAAAATGAACATAAATGATGGTAAAGCATTTTAGCTTTGGACATAGTTATGCAAGACATGGACGGTAGGCAGGAAGAAGCTGACAAACTGTCCTGTCATTTTAGAAAGTAATATTTGTGCACGAAATAAACCATTTTATTTCTTCACAGCCAAAAAAAGAACACCCCCACCTCCCTTTCCTTCTGCATACAAATCTGCAATGTTCCTTGAAGAGTTTCTGCTATAAATGTGCTTCCTTTGCTTTTGTATCTTGTTTTTCACTAAACTGATTTCAAGAGAACCACTTTTGTACAGCAGAAAAAGCCTGTCTAAAATGGAGCAACAAACAGGCAAAATCAACAACCCTGCACTAGGGTGACAGTGCAAAAATTGATAGCTCAAAACCAGTACAATTTGAGTAGATCAGAGACAAACTCTAAATACAGCCATTTAGAAATTGTGTAGAGCAATTTATTAATTTTATTTAAGGAAGTCAATGGTATCCCTTCTTATGTCAGTAAATATACCGTATATACTCGAGTATAAGCCGAGTTTTTCAGCCCATTTTTGGGGCTGAAAAATGCCCCCCTCGGCTTATACTCGAGTCAGCGGCGGCGGTGGCGG